GAAAACAGAGAAAATGAAGAAAGAAGGAAAGAAAAAGCAAAAAAAGAAGAAAAAAAAGAGAAGGAAAGAAAACAGATAAAATGAAGAAAGAAGGAAAGAAAGAAAAAAAAGAGAATGGATCGAAGGAAAAAAAAGAGGAAAAGAGAAGAAAGAAAACAGAGAAAATGTAGAAAGAAGAAAGAAAGAAAAAGAAGAAGAAGAAAAAAAGAGAATGGACCGAAGGAAAAAAGAAATGAAAAAAGCAGAAAGACAACAGAAAAAAATAAGAAAGAAGAAAAACGAAAGAAAGAGAGAGAGAGAAAGAAAAAGAAGAATGAACCGAAGGAATTAAACAGATCCTTCAGTACACAGTCCACAAGCCCCAGTGTATTCCAACCTCGTACACTGTGGCTTCTTTCCCCTCGGGCTTCACTGCGGTCCATTGGGCAGTACCCTAATGAGGCGTTAATTGGCCTGAATCTGTTCGGGGACAATGTTGTTCTTTGCGGGGACTGAGGGACTGGTCGGTGGACTGGAATGTAAAGCTTCGTAATCGTAAAATAAGACACACGCTCTGGTAGAAAGATACACACGCACGCACGTACACATATACAAAACACACACACACACGCACACATACAAAACACACACACACACGCACACATACTCGCACACACACACAGGCACGCAATTGACCGAAGGAATTAAAGAAAAAAGAGAAGGAAGGAAACACGGAATAGGAGGAAAGAAGAAATAAAGAAAAGGGAAAAGGAGGAAAGAAGAAAAAAGAAACAGGAAAAAGAGGAAAAGAGAAAGAAGAAAACAGAGAAAATGTAGAAAGAAGAAAGAAAGAAAAAGAAGGAAAAAAAGAGAATGGACCGAAGGAAAAAAGAAAGAAAAAAAGAAGAAAGAAAACAGAAAAAAAAAACAAAAAAAAAGAACGAAAGAAAACGAAAGAGAGAGAGAGAGAAAAAAAAATGAACCGCAGGAATTAAACAGATCCTTCAGTACACAATACACAAGTCCCATTGTATTCCAACCTCGTACACTGTGGCTTCTCTCCCCTNTATTTGTTTTTTATTTATTTATTTATTTATTTATTTTTTGGCATTTTTGAGGTATATTAACTCTCAGTTCGAGGGATTGTCGTTTTTTTTAATCATTATTATCATATCATTTGGCTTGTTCTTGAATTAAATGAAAATTACAACAGTAGATACTCGCCTGTTTGTTTTAAAAAATAATAATAATGAATAAATAAACGCAAACCTACAAACAACATCTCTCGAAACAAGCAGTGATTCCGACGTGGCAACATAGCCTCATTATTCCCCCGAGCGGCTCTGGTGTATCTGCCGAGACTTCTTGAAGGTGCGAATTGAAGCCCAAAAGTTATTGGATATCATCAGTTCATGTAGAGGTATGGTTGCATAGGTTTGTGTATGTGCGTGTGTGTGTGTGCGTGTGTGTGTGTNCGATAGGCTAGTATTACCTTTCCAGTATCACCCATTTATCATATATTATTATTATTATTATTTATGATGATGATGATTGAATGATGATGATGATTGAGATTGATTGATGATGTGATGGATTGATTGATTATTATATTATTATTATGATTATTTTTATCATCATCATTCATCATTTAGTATTTATGATGATGATGATCTATAACCTGTAAAAGTAATAACACTGATTAATCATCATACTGTTATTATAACTACTACTGTTACTTGTTACCACCATTTAATATTAATATCATTAAAGATATACTCTCTCAGTATTTTTAACTATATCAGTAAAAACAGTAATTACTTCCTTTATCTTTTTAATACAATAATTATGATATTTTTCGAAAAGTTCACAAAATTATTCTTTCATGACATCGTTCCCATCTTTTTTGTGGTTTTTTCTCTCTCTCTTCCTCTCTCTGTCTCTCTTCTCCTCCTCTCTTCTCTCTCTCTCTCCTTGTCCTCCCTCTCTTGTCCTCCCTCCCTTTGTCTCTCTCCTTTGTTCTCTCTCTCTTCTGTCTCTCTCTCTCTCTCTCTCTCCTCTCTCTCTCTCTCTCTCTCTCTCTCTCTCTCTTCTCTCTCCTCTCTCTCTCTCTTTGTTCTCTCTCTCTTCCTCTCCTCTCTCCCTTTCTCTCTCTCTCTCTCTCTCTCTCTCTCTCTCTCTTCTCTCTCTCCTCTCTCTTCTCTCTCTCTCTCTCTCTCTCTCTCCTCTCTCTCTCTCGCTCTGTCTCTCTCTTCGCTCTCTCTCTCTCTCTCTCTCTCTCTCTCTCTCTCTCTCTCTCTCTCTCTCTCTCTCTTCTCTCTCTCTCTCTCTCCCTCTCTCTCTCTCTCTCTCTCTCTCTCTCTCTCTTCTCTCTCTCTCTCTCTCTCTCTCTCTCTCTCTCCTCTCTTCTCTCTCTCTCTCTCTCTCTCTCTCTCTCTCCTCTCCTCTCTCTCTCTTCTCTCTCTCTCTCCTCTTCTCTCTTCTTCTTTTACGAGCACTCATTCATGTCACATTTCCAGCTCTTGGACATGTGTATCCTACAAGATCTCACACGCTCCCTGTTTCCTAAAATTGCTAGTTTTAAATTAACCAAAAGCTTTGTTCTTTGGTGTTGTATAATCTCGTGTTTAGGTGATGTATTTTTGTTGTTATTTTGTATTATACATCGAGGAAGAATCAATGGTTTATGAAAATTGGGTGTTGTAATAATCTCGTGTTTTATGTATTTAGTGAAAGAATTAATAGAATATGAAAACTGACATTTTAGCATACAAGGTGTATTATCTGTAAAAGAATAGAGAAGAAGAGGAGAGGGAAGAGAGAGAGAGAGAGAGAGAGAGAGAGAGATGGAGATAGAGAGAGACGAGAGAGAGAGAGACGAGAGAGAGAGAGAGAGGAAGAGGAGAGAGAAGAGAGAATATTTAAAGAAAGAAAAACATAAAGAAAGAGAAACTGAAAGGAGACAAAAAAAACAATAGAAAGAAAACGAAAAAAAAAAACAGAAACAAAGAAAAAAAAAACACCAAAATAAAAAAACAACAACAAAGAAACATCTTTCTCAAATTTCCCCCAACACCAACACTACAAAAAATATATATATAACCATCACCATTCACTCTGTAGCCCTGCGAACTGTACAAGCGACCCTATCGGCGTTTATGCAACGGGAGGGTGATACAGCAACAATACAAGTGGTGTTGTAGTGCCTGGCTGTTGTTGTGGGGACGCTCTGCTGTATGTCTCTTTCTCTCCCCTTGGTGTTGAGAGAGGTGGGGGTGAGGAGGGAGGGGGGAGGAGGCGAGGGGGGGTGGGAGGAAGGGGAGGGCTGTAGGAAGGCGAGGGGAAGAGAAGGGGGTGAGGGAGGGAGGGGGAGGGGTGGTGGGTGGGGGAGGGGGGGTGGAGTGAGATTGTTTAAGTAGGGGTTTGTGAGGGAGAGGGCGAGAAACTGATTTTTTTTGTGTGTGTGTTGTGATTATGAGGATGAGAATGTGGTGATGATGGTGTTTTAGGAAATGTTTGGTGATTTGTTGATATTCGCGATTATAATGATGTTAATGATATTGATAATGTGATTGATAGTGTCGGTAATAACAATAAAGGCAGTTGTATTATTTTAAAACAGCTAAACACAACGCGCGCGCGCACTCTCTCCGCTCTCTCTTTCTCTCCCTCTCCCTCCCTCTACCCTCCCTTTTCCCCTCCCTCCCTCCCTCCTACCCCCTCCTCTCCCCCCCTTCCCCTCCCTGCTTCCCTCCCTACCTCTCCCTCCTCCCCCCTCCCTCCCCTCCCTCCCTCCCTCTCTCCCTCCCTTTCCCCTCCCTCCTACCCCTCCCTCTCCCTCTTCCCCCCTCTCCCTCCCTCCCTCCCTTTCCCCCTCCCTCCCTCTCCCTCCCTCCCTCATGCTCCACTGACTGCAACCAGACTGTCCTGATGGCCATTCCTCGCACCATCAGTATTGCAGACGAGTGCCTGGCCGTGCAACATCCCTGCTCTCGACGAATGCAAAGAGCCGAGCCGACGTGCACTGGAAATACGTTGAGAGAAACACCTGATCAGCGGAGGGACTTGGCTCGGAGTCGGAGGTTGAGGGGGAAGAGAGAGGGCAGGGTAGGGGTGTGGGTGTGTGTGTGTGGTGTGGGGGTGTGGGTTTGTGTGTGTGGTGGGTGGTGGTAGGTGTGTTTGGTGTGTGTGGGTGTGTGGGGTGTGGATGTGTGTGTGTGTGTGTGTGTGTGTGTGTGTGTGTCTGTCTATCTATCTGTCTGTCTGTCTGTCTGTCCATCTGACTGTCTGTCTGTCTCTGTCTGTCTATCTATCTATCTATCTATCTATCTATCTATCTAATATCTGTAATATCCTGTGTATCTATATATAATATCTATCTAATCTATTATCTATCTATCTATCTATCTGTAGTATCTGTCTGTCTATCTGTCTATCTGTCTGTCTGTCTGTCTGATCTGTCTGTCTGTCTGTCTCGTCTCTGCCTGTCCATCTATCCATCTATCTATCTATCTATCTCTGTGTGTTTAAGTGTAATTCGTATTCTATTGGTCCTATCTTTATTATCATTGCTGAACATTACAACCTCTCCGATCGGGATTCGATCCCTCGCCGCCAATGCACGTGAATGCAAGACGGCCGCTCTACCACTCGTACAACGACTCACTAAAAGGAGTGAGCAACTAGGCGCTTACTAGCATCCATAGACATTACCTACCTACTCATACGTGAGTAAGGAGAGCGGAGTTTCACACTCACTCCCCGTGGGCACTCGGTATTTATGGATAGAGGTTTAAATCGCAAATCAGATAACCTGAGGTGCATTCTATGGAAGATGGAATAATGCAATACCGCATTTTTTATCATTTTATCATGATTATAACCTCTCCGATCGGGATTCGATCCCGATCGGAGAGGTTATAATGTTCTTGATAAAAATGCGGTAATGCATTATTCCATCTTTCATTATCATTGCTATTTTTTATATTATTATCATTATTGTTATTGTTATTATTATTATTATTATTATTATTATTATTATTATTATTATTATTATTATTATTATTATTATTATTATTATTATTATTATTATTATTATTATTATATATATTATTATTATTATTATTATCATTCATTATTATACATCATTCTATCCAAATCTATCTCTTTATCTATTTTTTATTGCTATGGATAGTGAAGGCTGTTATCAATACTTTTATTATAGTAGTTATCATTATTGTTTTCGTTTTGATAATGATTATTACTGATGTCAATGTAATCAGCGAAATAGATTTTATTGATATTGTTTGCATTTACTGTAATTATGATAATAATACTGACGCTTGAGAATAATAATAATAATGATATTTATATGAAGAATGATAGTAGTGATATAAATATAAATAATTTTAATAATTAGTATTAATGATAACAGTAATGATATAATGATAATGATAATGTTGATAATGATAATGATAATAACAAAAACTATTAAAAATAATGATTATGTACTGCTATTAGTATAATGATAATGATGATTGTTATAAGAACAATAACAGTTATTATTACTTAAGTAATTTAGATAGATACATATAGACATGTAATTATAATATAAATACACACACAGGAAAAGATCTATAGATATAAATACATTCCAAGATAGATAATTATAGATATAAATACACATACACAATGGAAGACAGATAATTATAGATATAAAACACATTCACATAAGAAGATAGATAATTATAGATATAAATACACATACACAATGGAAGACAGATAATTATAGATATAAATACACATTCACATAAGAAGATAGGCTAATTATAGATATAAAACACATACACAAATGGAAGACAGATAATTATAGATATAAATACATTCACATAAGAGAGAGATAATTATAGATATAAACACCACACACACACATAGGAATATAGACAATTCTAGATATAAATACACATACGCAATGGAAGACAGATTAATTATAGTTATAAACACCATACACTTAAGAAGATATAATCATAGATATAAATACAACACACATCCACATAGGAAGAGATAATTATAGATATAAATACACACACACAATGGAAGACAGATAATTATAGATATAAACACACACACATAGAAAGATAGATTATAGATATAAATACATTCACATAAGAAAAATAGATAATTATAGATATTAAGAAGATATAATTATAATTAAGAAAATATAATTATAGACACACACATAGGAAGAGATAATTATAGATATAAATACACATACACTTAAGAAGAGATAATTATAGGTATAAATACACATACACAATGGAAAATAGATAATTATAGATATAAACACACACACATAGAAAGATAGATCATTATAGGCATAAATACACATACACTTAAGAAGACAGACAATTATAGATATAAATACACATAAGAAGAGATAATTATAGTTATAAACACACACACATAGGAAAGACAGATAATTATAGTTATAAACACATAGGAAGAGATAACTATAGATATAAATACACTTAGGAGAGATAATTATAGATTAATTATAGATATAAAATACACTTAGGAAGAGATAATTATCGTTTATAAAAACACACAATCCACATAAGAAAATAGATAATTATAGATATAAACACACACACATAGAAAGAGATAATTATAGATATAAATACACATAAATATAGGAAGAGATAATTATAGATATAAATACACATTGGAAGATAGATAATTATAGATATAAATACACTTAGGAAGAGTTAATTATAGATATAAATACACATTGGAAGATAGATAATTATAGGCATAAACACACATCCACATCTATGGAGCCACACATGCACAAATATCCGGGTGCGATGCCAGTCGCGCGACACACAAGGCATCGCGCAACACCTCCCCATTCGTCTGGCTCCGTGACTCGTAGTGAATCAATTCGTCAGCCGCCCTTCGCCCAACACCCCTCCGTCAGGTCGTCGAGGTCGTCCCACGTCAGGAGAGGAGAAGAGAAGAGCTGTGGAAGTCGTTACGGCGGGTATTAGTCTTCCCATACACACGCACGCACGCACACGCACACGGACACGCACGGACCACGCATGCATACACACGCACGCACGCACACTCACACGGACACGCACGGACGCATGCATGCATACACACGCACGCACGCACGCACACACACACACGCACACACCCCACGCAAGTCCGACCTTCCCCCTCACCCCCCCCCACATTCGTCCGGGGTTCCCCTCCGTGCACTCGTATTTTTTTTTTGTTTTTTTTTTTTTTTTTGTCGCTCTGTGAAAACACCTCCTGACGGTCGGACGGATGGGCGAGGCGCTGTCAGGAGCCCCGCGACGTCAGCCCAACCACCCCCCTACTCTACTCTTCTCATCTCATCAGGGGGAGGGGAGGGGAGGGGAGGGGAGGGGGAGGGGGAGGGAGGAGGAGGAGGAGGAGGAGGAGGAGAGAGGAGAGGAGGAGGAGAAGAGGAAAGAGGAGGAGGAGGAGGAGGAGAGG